TTTTTTCTTCGCTAGCCTAGCTAGCACCTGGCACTGCGGTGCTGAGCCATCAACAGCCTTAAAAACAGGATTGCTTTCCTCATGTCAGTTGAGTGGAGGGGCATGATGCGGGTGCCACATCAAAGACTTTCCTGTTGTTTGGGTCTAGAATCGATTTCAACATTCTGCAAAACACTGAATGAACCAAATCCGCGTATCAAAGCGTGTCCAATCCATTTTTATCAACATCCCACGTTGAAGGTTGCACCAGGGGAAATGAGCTTGAGTGATGGCCAAATGTGCATTTTCTGAGTTGTGAGGCAAGTATAATCTGCAAGACCCACAGCAGCTGATCCAGCTTCTCCTCGATGCTAAGATCGGCTTGGTGCGATTTGAGTACTTGGAGGAGCTGCTTGCCACGGACCAAAGATTCCCTCGCAGGCAAGAGGCAGACTTCCAAGTCACAGCTGCAGGCCTTCCTGCACTTATTCAAGCGTCAGAGTTGATGAAGGTGGAGATTGATGCCATGGGCAATATGAGCATATGTGAAATGGACCCCACGCCTCGCAGAGTGATGGTGCTGATCGTGTCCATCTCGCATGCTTGGGAGAGCATGGAACATCCAGACCCACATGGCTTTCAGCTCCACCAGATCCTCCAAATGTGTCCTCCCAATACCCCAACTCGTTCAGTTTGGGTGTTCTATGATTTCATCTCCCTCTATCAGTACGGTGGCCGAACTGGGCCTCAGGAGAAATGTTTCAGAGAAGCTTTGGAGCACATGCACACGTTGTACGCCCATGAGGCTACGAAAGTCCGGATAGTGGATGAGCTCACTCCTGAGACGTGGAAGCGTCCAGGAACTGTAGAGGTCTTTTCAGAGCAGGCAGGACGCGTCATACCCGTCTCTGTTGACCAACTCAAGGCCAATCCAACACCTTACTGTCAAAGAGGGTGGTGCCAAGCTGAGCTCCAATGGTCAAGGTTACGGATTTCTTTAGACACCTGTGTGCCAATGCCACCGGACCTGTTTCGTCGCAAGATGGAGCAACAAGGTCTTCGTTTCACCCACAATGATGACAAAGAAGTTGTTTTGATGCTACAAGCTCAAGTCTTTGCGGAGAAGGTCTTGACCACCCGGCAGTTGATGGCTGAAAACTTGGATGAGGATGCTCTCAACGTCCTTTGTGCAGCTTTGCCATTCTACGCAGATTTAGATGAGATTGTCGTCAACGGCAACTTGTTGCCAAGGAATGCGGCATTGGCAGTGGCCAATACGAATGCACGGTCCTATCAGATGGAGTCCTGCGGACTTGAAGATGATGATTTGCAAGAGATTGTGGGAAGATTGCTTTATTGTGACAAGATCGAAGAGCTCAGGGTAGCCCAAAACAACATTGGAGATAAAGGCCTTGAAGCCTTGCGAGAGTTGGTGAAGGCAAAGCCGAACCTGTACATCGACATGCTAGCTGGCTAAGAAGTTGATGTCGTTTCTACACCCCTACAGATACACACGGTGAAGACGCTGCTGGTGCACCGTTGAACTGCTTTATGGGAGATAAGATGAGATAAGCCACTCAGATCACCATGATGAGACCTACTAAAGCCTACATACTAACCCCCACACACCAGCTGAGACCATTGAATCTGAGAGCTACTTGGGATGTTCATTGTCATAGGTTTCAGACGATTCCTGTCAGGAAGAGTCAGGAAGAGCGGCTGAGGAAGCAGCTGGAACGGAACAAAAGCAGCTTGGAGCATCGAGCACTAGCACCAGATCCGTCATGATTTATCAAGATGCATCCTGGTCAAGTCAAACTCTCAGCGTTCAGAGCCTTGAAAGCTCTGATTCAGACCCTTCGAAAACTGTCGGCTCCAGAGCTTCCATTGCTTCTGAAGGTGTGATTTATTCCACTGTCATTTAGCTTCTTACGCAGGATTTGGGGCAAACGTTGCAGTGCTTTAGTTTGTATTTTATATATTATAACTAAATACACTGATTAAATACACATAGAAATATATTGGCGCAATTCCAAGTGCTTTGAGCAATGGACTGCCAGCAAGCTGCCGAAAAGGATGATGTCGACGCAGTGCAAGCTCTATGTCTCACGGGGCACGCCCGACTGGCAGCATTGCACCAGGCCCTGATGGCGGGAAGTGCCAAAGTGTCTCCCGCTTTACTTGAGGTAACGGCTGCAGATGCACTCAATCAGTTCAGGCAGCCATTGAAATTTCTGCTTCCAACATATGTATGCAGAACATACACCTGTGATAATCAATGGGCTAAGACGTGTCCAGCATCACTACCAGAGAATCCTGGAGATAAGCGGCTGTGCTGCTGTAACTTCGGAAAGGGTTTTTCACAGACAGAAATGCCTCATCGCCGCGAATGGCGACTCTTCCAAAACCTGACCTCCAACGTGTCATTGCTGGCTGCAGCGGCGGCGGGTGGCAACAAGACAATTCTTCAACATCTCTGGGACCAAGGCGTGCATGCAGACTGTGATGCCGCACTCGCTGCTGCAGTTTGTCGCAATCAGACTGGCGCTGTGAGGTTTTTGCTGGATCGCTGTGATGGCCAGAAGTTTTCTTACATGTACCAAGAAGTTCCGTTGGTTGCGTGGGCCGCTGGTCTAGGCTTCTCTGGTGTAGTGAAAGCTTTGCTGTCTAAAGGTGCTCCCACGCTGACTCCTTCCAGCAGGTCAGATTACAACTATACAGCGCTTGGTGCGGCCATTCGATTTGAGGCTGACGGAGATGAGGGTGATGCACTTGGTGTGGTTCAAGAGCTGCTGCTACAGAGTGATGATCCACAGAAATTGCTGAAGGCGACTAGTACGTACGAGGGGTTGCCAGCTCTATTCATTGCAGTGTCCTACAGCAAGAATCACCTTGCAAAAGTGCTGTTGGAGAAATCTGCCGATCCTGATCAAGCAGTGACAAGCTCTGGTGAGAGGCCTGTGCAGAAGGCCGCTTCTTTGGGCAACGATTCACTCATGGTGGAGCTCTTGTGCAGCTACGGCGCAGACGTACAGGTGAGAAATCCACATGGCGGCACGCCTGCCATGACAGCTGCATGGGTCGGCAGTCCCAACAATCTCCAAGCTCTCATCAACAACTGCAGCGTGGCAAGTACATACGGCCGCGATTTGTGGGGCAGCACGGCTGCACATATCGCCACCGTTGGAGAGAATTCAGCCGGCGACTACCTGAAGGTGCTACAGCTGCTGCGAAACGCGAGTAGCTGGTGTTTTCAGCAGCGCAACGATGACGGCCAGAGCATCTTGGACATGGCAGTCATTAAGGGACGAACTGATCTGGTGAAGTATTTGGTGTCCGGGCCCTTTCACGACCGCATGAGCCCAATGTACCAAGATCCGGTGCGAGCACTACGCTGGGGCGTTTGGCATCCCACGATTCTCAAAGTTCTTCTTGAGCATGTCCCTAGCAACAGAAACTCAGCCAGTTTTGTAGATGCTGTGCATGAGGCCGCGGCAAAGGGGCAAGCCAACAGCCTGCAGCAGCTACATGAGAAAAGGGCAGACTTGCATAGCTGGAAGAATGGATGGAGCCCTTTGTGTCGAGCGGCTGAGAATGCCCAGCCCACCACCGTTCTCTACCTTTTGAAAGCAGGTGCTCGGTCAGGTGCTCGGTGCTCTGGCAAATTGCCTCTAGACCACGCAGTCAGCTCACAAGAATGGTGGACAGAGAATTGGCAAAAAGCCAAAAACGCAACCATCCTGCTAGCTCAACATGTTGAAACTCCAGGCGCCAAAGCATTGGTTTCACTTCTGGCCGGAGACGCACCAAGCTTGAACTCTACGTCCAGTGTTGGCCAGCTGCTCTGGACCGGTTTGCATTGGGCTGTGATGACACGAGACTTGTCCATGCTACGCCATTTCGAAAGCTTCGACCATGCAGCTGCAGCGAAGGACGCGAAGGGACGCACGGCACTCAGCATGGCAGCTCGTTTGGGCTTAGTGGATCATGTGGAAGCTTTGTCAAGCCAGTCAGACTTGAATTCTGCAGATGAGGATGGCATGACGCCGCTCATGTGGGCAGCTCGAGGTGGCCATGTTCAGGTTTGCAGGAGATTGGCAGAAATGCCTCAATTGCAGCCTCTCAAGAATGATTCGCAAAACAACACCCTCTTGCATTGGGCAGCCTTCAGCGGCAAAGTGGAGGCGGTCGATCTCTTCCACAAGGTCCTGATGAACTGCACCAATCATTGGGTCAACAGCGCCAATAGTTGGAAGGAGACGGCGCTCTTCAACGCTGTTCGCAGCAAAAATGCCATGTTGGTCCAGCATATGACTCAGGAGTTGCACTACGACCCCAATGTCTCAAATGCCTTTCTGCAGACACCTTTGTTTGTCGCCCTCCGGCAATGCACCAAAGATGTGTGGGAAGAATTGGCACATCACACGGATCTTCAGCGTAAAGATTACTTGGGATACCGCATTGATGAGATGCCGGAATTCAACAGCAATTTGTGCTTGAAGAGAACAAAGTCAGTGGACTATTTCAAGCTGGACGTTCCGGTGCCATCCACTCAATTCAGCCAGAAGCTGCTTTCCGTCGGGACCAACACGACCTTTCACGGGTACCTCTTCCTGACGATACTCCTTTCGTTTCTCGTGGCCTGCATCGTGAAACTTTGGAGCCATTGGCGAGCTCCACCCACTCAAAGCGCAGGGCTTGATGCCGAAGATTCTTCTGCCTCAGAAACTCATGAGTCAACAGAGTCAACGGAGTCCTCTAGCTTCAGTAGAGGCTGCGCAGGTTGTGGTCAGAGAGTCCTCGACATATCACTCCGTGCTTCCCAAATTCAAACAGCGGCGAAGCATTTAGATCAGACCTTGCAGTGGAAGCTGTACGCAAGGCGTTGCTTGGACGTCGTTGCTGCAGTCGTGTTCCCAACAATCATGATCCGTGTTCTAGGATGGGAGCACATGCTGGTCTTGTCAATTGCAACATACATCCTGCCAGCCCTTTGCAAGCAGGCGAAATTTCGGGATGAGATTGCAGAACGCCCTGCCAAACTATTTGGGGTGAGAGACTTCTGGGCTTGGTTGAGAACGGCTTACTTGCTGTTCCAGCTCTTGTGGTGTATCACAGAGCGTGATGTCGTGTGGCACGAGCATGATCAGGTGTGGCATGAAACTCACAAGTATTTGTGGGACCGGCAAACTTATCCAATGTCTCAGATGAAGGAAGTATCGAAAAACGAACTCTTTCCAATCCCGTTTCCTCCACTGAATGATAGCTGGCCGGTCTTCGGGATTGCAGTGGCAGTGGCTGTGGCAGCTGGAAGCATTGGCGGCCTTGTGCTGCTGAAGAACCGCGTAAAGACTATCTTGCCCAGGGCTTGCGACTGGAACAGGACCTATGTGCTGGTTGAGGACCCGACATGAATGAGCCCTTGAAGATTCCGTGCTTAAACGATCGAATTCATTCGAATTCTTACTGTGGTAGACAAGTCTTTCCTTCCGCTTTGTGGGCTTAGTACTGCACCTCTGGACCATCCCGTCCCATTCAGCAAGGCCTCTCTCCTTCCTATTCACGCAGTTGATGCCCTTGTGAGATCCCTAGAAATCACGTCCCCTTGCCATAGCTGTCCTAAGTGTTTTTTTGTTGTACATCTAAAACTTGCGTGTACGACTTTTGCTAGCCTGACTCGGTTTTTTAAACGGATAGGCTAACTGGAATAACAAAACGGACCCCCTCCTCAAGTAGGCAGACAACGCCTCACCGTGAGTGTCCACATACCTGCCACATGTCTACATCGGAGGTGTTCAGTTCTTTGTGTAAGGTCCATTTCTGTAAAACACAACGATGTCAAAGGATTATGATTTGCAAACACAAGTGAAAAAAAACAATGATTTGATAACGAAGCTAAGCTGACAACGAAGATGATTTGATTTGACAACAAAGACGATGTGACAAAGGAACATGTGCTCGATTCAGTGCTTGATTGCGTTTTAATGTGATAACACAGATGGTCGCAAGGAAAACAATTAAGTCACATTGCACCGCAACCTAATGACTCTTTGATGACAACGTTTTGATGATGATATTGCTGTGAACGCAAAGATCATTGGTTGCAACATGTTGCAACAGAGGACTCACGCTGAGGCCGGTTTGGAAGAAACCCATGACTGCTCAACCAAGGCACTCGGACCCTGCAAAAGACAATTTTGAACGCCCAACCCATGCAAAAAATAACCTGCTGTGCGGCATGCCCCAAAGTCTTTAGGCAAACCCCGGACAGCGATAGCTATAGGCTCTAGGGGTTCTTACTTCTCAATGACTGGGTGCCCGTATTCCGTGTCAGTTTGCTGCTGTGGGCTGCTGCCTTGCCTCCCCTTTTGTCTCCTTACATGTCTCCCCACTGGTCTCACGGGCTCGCTGGGCTAAGAGGAAAATATATGCTTCCGATTTAGTTAGTTGCTGCCTGGTGTCTATGCCCGTGTCGTTTGTTTTGTTCCACTGACACCAGTATACTGGCACCATACACAAAGACCGCTTTCGCAGCTGCTGATGTCCATGTTTTTGCTTCTGCAGCCCCATAAACCGTTCGTCCGGACGGTCAGGACCCTGAAGAGAACCTTCCCAGTCACGAAGGGAGCGAAGCGACCCAGTGGATTTCTCCTCGGAATGGTGTGTTGGGAGTTGGATGTCTCAGTGGAGCCTTGTTGCTCGCGGGATTGTGGCCAACGGCTCCGGCTCAGCTACCCATGTCGTTGGGTGACGTCTTGATCCTTTACCGTTTCTTGGTGTTGATGCTCACTTGTCTATGGGTCGTGTTAGTCATGTGGAATCTTTTCGCAGAACAGGCTGCCAGCTGCGAGCCAAACACACCAGGAGCACACGAAAGCCACAACACGTTGAACGAGGTCGCAGAAAGGGTGCATCAGATTGCCATGCAGAGGCGTGATGAAGAAGGTGCCCAGGCCGTGAGCCTGGAAGATGCAGCATACTTCGAGAAACACTGCAAGCAGCAGACACATTTGGATGTCTTCAAAGAAGCCTTGTTCTGGCTGTTGGACATCGTGACAGATTTGTACACCATTGTCAACTTCGCAGCGGCAAGATCTTTCGCGGGGTATATGTTTGCATCTTTGATCCTTGGAGCAGGCTTGTTGGGCTTTTTCAGGGCACTTTTGGATGGAGTCTTCATGAAGCTTGGCTCCGCTGTGCGGCAAACTTTGAAAACAGGTGTCCGTGCAGAGGAACTTCACAACTTACTTGAGCTGGAGGTGGTGATTGAAGTGCCAGTGTCCTTGATCATGACTACTTACGGTCTTCCTGAGGGTTCACATCGCCCTGCCAGTGCTTTCATGGCCCTGCTCAGCATTGTTTTATCGCTCACACGACAGGCGAAGTGGTTGTACGAAGAGTTCGATGTGTGTGGAGGTATGGACGTGTATCAGACCGAGAAGACCCCCAAGCATCAAATGAATGCTCCAACGCCAGAGTTCTTTCCAAAGCCTTGACCTAAATCCAAAGAGATTCTTTCAGATCTGAGTATATATATCTGAGTGGCTAAAAGGGCCTATTTGCGTTGTTGGTAGTCGAAGGGCATGTCTTTTGACGTTGAGCTTCTGCAGGTTGAGGGGTTGCGCGCAGAAATTGCAATTCCCTTTGGCTCAAGATACTCGGCAATTCCAGCAGCTATGTGCTGACACAGCTGACACATTGTATATGCATATGAGACCGCTTATGAGCTACCGTAAGACATAAAAAATAGATATATACATACGGTGTAACATGATACACTGTAAAAGGGATCTCCACAATGGGCACCACAATCACCAGCTTCATGTTGTTTCTTTAGTGATGGTGCAACAAACAGAGCTTCCGTTTGTGCAGAACAAGCTGGAGCTTCATGGAACATACTTCACTGGTCCCAGGTATCTCCTCCAGGTCTCTCGAAGAAATGTGTTTTAAACGTCCGGCCGCTGCTTACTTTGTGCGTTACTCCTTGCAGACACTGATGTCCAAACCTTAAGGTTTCCATAAGCACATCGATGTGTGTGTGGGAGGAAGAAGGCAACAAGTTGATCTTTTCAGCAGACGTCCACTCAATATCTATGGCACACGCGTCGGCAGAGCATGGCCCACTTCTGACTTGGTCAGCCAGGCTGCAAGCAGTTTTGATCAGCCAAGTGTTGCAAGTCTTGTCTTGTCTTGTCTCCGTCATGTTTTTTTCCCAGGCGAGTCTGTGAGGGTTAAAGGAGCTTCAGATGGGAATGGCAGGCCCGAAAAACCGATCGACCCCTTTTGCCCAAAGAGTTGGTATTGTAGTAGCATCCTTGTTTCTAGTAGCGATGCCCTTTGCTCCTAGTAGCGTCCTCTTGTTCGTGATGGCAAACGTGTGACATTTCGCTCAGCCGGGCTCGGCCGCTTCGCTAAGCTTGTTCAGGATCAATGCAGACGGAAGCAGAGGCAAGGAGATTTGCAAGACGAGGTCGACAGAGTAGTGCACGTGAGCAAAACGAATTCTTCATTTTGATGCCCCCCCAATGTCTTGGATTTCAATGTATATAAGTGTTTTACCTTAGCAGCGCGAGGTTGTTTGATCATGATGAGCATGTTTCAAGCACGTCATGCCTGCATGGCCCAAAAGATAATCCGCAAACGTGTGGAAGACATCAACGTCCCAAGGCTAATGATCTGCAAGGTGAGCCAGAAAATTTGTGATTCATGGACTATGTTCAATTAGCCACAAATACTACATTCTTGGCAACAGGCTGGTGAAACGGCAGCTGCAACACGTTGAGCTCTCAGGTCATCAAAGTGGATTATTTGCAAAGTTTAGTTGCGATAGCAGTGGGTTTTCGCTACGCCTAAGAATAGGTCAGCCACACTACGCAACTGGCCTGAGAATTTGGACGCCGGCAACAGTTGTTGGGAGTCTGGAGGGCTTTTCTAGCAAAGAACTTTTTGTTAATCGCGAAGAGGAAGGGTGAAATCCCCAGCTCAGCCAAGGTCCTGACGTGGATGCAAGAGGCTGGCGGCTCAGACAATGCTTGCTCCAAGTTTTGGCTGATCCTTTGCAGAAAACTTTTAAAATCAGAAGTTGGGTCTGTCATGGGCCGTCCAAGTTGTCGTCGTCGGCCGCTCAAGTGCCCGAGATTTGAGCAGATTGGAGGCAGGACGGCGCTGCACCTGGCTGCTCTCAAGCAAGAGATCGAGGAGGTGGAGCATTTGCTGGCCAATGGTGTTGCGATCGAGACCACAGACAGAGAAGGCCAGGGTCCTCGAGTTTCGGCGGACTGGCGCATCAAAGGTGAAAGATTGAAGCCTTTAGACGCCTGTTGGAACACTGTAGACGCAGTGGCTATTTTTGAAGAAATCGAGAAGCTCCTGAAGTGCAAGCACTGGTTTAAATGCTGCGGTGAAGGCCCAAAGAAAAGCGAGTAGCGCTTGCGATTTTTACCTTGACTGATATGAGTTCCTTCTGAGTTTATTCTGAAATATAAGGAATAGCGCGTTCGATGGTTGATATGATATTTTTGGTGTCGACTCTGCAAGACGATGGGGGGCGAAACCGAAGCCTTTAAACGGGCGTTGGTGGATGGTGGATGGTGGACGTGGACTGAAGGCAGTTCGAGACGAGATGAGACGCTCATACGAGTAATTGCGATGTCGAGCCTTGCTGCCTCAACAGCCCCGCGTCTCCAAACAATTGTGCAGATGACGGACATTCGAAGTTGACCTCGTGTTCGCCTAGATAGGAGGAGTCACGTCTTTAGCCGTTCATTGCATCCTACAACAACGTAGCAGGCAAAGAAGGCCATAGAACAATACTTTTGAGACTCTGCACCTTGAACGAGCTTCAACTCAACAAGCTTCAACTCAACAAGCTCCGAGGCCGAACACCTTTGCACCTTGCAGCCGAGAACGGCCACCTTGCCATAGTTGACCGGCTGCTGGCCGCTCGCGCAGTCCTGGATACGAAGGCCGACAAAGGCCTGGAAAGCCGGAGGCTGTCGAAGCCGGAGGGAAGGAAAAGTTCAGTCACGAAGCGATACTGTAAGACTGTATGATGTTCAATGTTTGGCTATACGGATGTTTTCAGATGTGTATTTGCATGAGAGATCCGTGCCAAATGAACACCCAGGCTTGTTTGACTCAACTAATTAACATGGAAAGGCAATCATATCTTAGATTCTATTACTGTGCAAGAGCAAGTAGCAAAGTAGGTTCACATTCACAGAAGGCTCGGTTCCTGCATTCACTTTACAGTGGTACAGCAAAGTTGCTGCACAGCAGACATCATCCCAAGAGCAAGAGATATGATGTAAGCGTGACAGCATCGGATTTGCTCAACGCACGCACACAGACACATCTATGGATACAGTATACATGTGTGTTTGCATGACTCTTGAATACTTAGGACCCATCCAAGAAGTATCTATGGGCCCGCAGATTAGTGACTTCAAAATTATTTTGCTCTTCATGTCTTAATGCCCAAAGTCAAGCGAAGGGTTCCTGTTTTGTGTGGGGGATCGAGCTACTAGTAAGGATGACCTGTGTTTGTTTCACGTCTTGTGTAATGTTTGCACAATGGTTGTGTTGCATTGGTCATGGTTTACCCTGAGTTACCAGTGACACGAAGCTGTACGTACTGCTGGTCCGCAAAGGATGACACGCACAAAACGAAAGGTGTACCAAAACGGACACTTGAAACGAACCCAACTGAGACGGTTGGAAGCCGCTTTTGCACAAGCCTGAAAAAGGTGTTCAGGCTGAAACCTTCAGGTTATGAGCCCAAGGTTGGAGGTGTAAGACCCAGCTTGAGGAGGTCGATCGCTGGGCCGCCCTGCGCAAGCGAAAGCCATGGCCATGATGGTTCGCCGACGAAGACGGCAACCTGGCGATGATGGAGAAGGAGAAGAAGCCGATCCGGAAGGTCTCCCACTACATGATCGGCAGCTGGAGGAAGAGCAGCTTGCTCTGGAGGATGGTGAAGATGGTGGGGAAGAGGAGACCTTGGAAGGCCCGAAAGGACCGCCTACGACCTTGACACCGATGACCCCACTCTTCACACCGGAACAGCTGAAGGGACTTCATGAAGTGCAGAGCCAAGCTCCTCACCTATATGCTCAAGTCCCGAGGCAGAGCATTTGGCAGCCTGGTATGGCGAGCAGGTCTCCGGAAGAGGTGAAAAGGGACAGACCGCAGTTCCTGCCGAAGGAGGAGGGTCCGGCTGGAGCACTTCCGCAGACGAGTACAACGACGGGGACACCATCGCCGGCACTGATGGGGGATCATGTACCAGAAGACCAACGACGTGGCCGACCAAGAGAACCACGGGTACCTGAAGTGCATGAACCAGGAAGTGAAAGTGATGGTCAAGAACCAGTCCCGATCCGAGAACAGATGATGGTTCAAGTTCATGGCAATGGACCTGGAGGACGAGGCCTACATGTTCCTAAGGGCTTTGGACAGAGTGGACCACCGGGTTACATCATGCCTCATGAAGAGAGGACTATGCCACATCAAGGAGGATGGCAAGTACAACTACATCCCTATGGCCCTGGTCCGCCGAATCCGCAGGAGATGATGACAATGTTGGCGATGTTGAAGCAGGAGAATCAACTGCAGATCCAACAGGCAGAGCTCATGGACGCGATGAAGTACCAGCGGGCGAGCCTGGAAGCTAAGGTTCATGACCTTCAACGTGAGCTGGAGCAGCAGGCCTTCAGAACGCCAGAGAGCGATGAGTCTGTGAAGCGCCAGCTGGAGATGACAGTCGACGAGCCCCCCAAGGGAGACGGACTTGGAGGTGGAAAGACGTCGCCTGTATGAGTTGACTCCTATGCAGCAGTTCGAGCAGCTCCAATCCTTGATGGGGACGGTCACTCCGGCACCGGCGAAGCGAGGTGGTCGAGGGCAAGGGCAACGAGTTAAGGTCGAGATCTCAAGGTCCAAGAACCACTCATCAAGGAGGAGGTCAACCTGAGGGCTTGGTGGCATCTCGGGCAAAGGGCTTCGAACCGGATGGGAGACAAGGGACAGGAAAGGGAGTGGGCCAGACAAAGAAGAAGTCCATGGCTGAGCAACCTGGCCGATCTTCGGCGGCCAAGGTAAAGGAAGAACAACCTGGTGAAGGTGGTGGCGGTATGGCTGATGCTATATATGTCCAAGCTGATCACCCACTTGGTCGACAAAGACAAGAAGCAAGAAGGACCTGAGTCGGTCAAGCCGGGAACTGTCACACTCCCAAGCTGGCAGAGCCATCCGACACGGCTCCCATCGACCTGGCAGACTGGCTCACTATGGTGGAACCGGCGATGACAGATCTCAGTGACTCGTCAGGCGAATGGTGGGAGTTGGTGGTGAGCGAGGCAAGAGCTTGGTACAAGCAGTACATCAAGCTACGTCCAATCCAGAGGGCTTCATCCAAGATCGAGCCGTCTGCAGAGCTGCAAAAGCCGAAGTGGGCTCGAGTGGAGAAGAGGGCCATCAGCATGTTGCTCTCCTCAGTTCCCACGACGGTGAAGGAGGAACTGGTGGCGACGAGGACTTTGTCACCGCTGGGGTTAGTGAGCAAGCTCATGGTTCTCGTCTACCAACCAGGTGGAGCTCATGAACGCACCATCATCCTTCGACAACTTGAAGATCCGCCAGAAGCAGGGTCGCCAAGCGAAGCCTGCATGGGG